AACGCGATGAGTTGTGTTCGTTCTTTTCTCTGGAAGCTGTAGAAAAAATCGCTAACGGACAGGACTCGTGCATCTCTAAGTGCATACAAAACTCAGAGGAATCAGGTCAACGGTCTTATTTTTAGAACCAGACGGGTTTCGAAGCAGACCTGGTGAATTATGTCACAGTGAACACCAAACAGTTTTACAGTTACTTTGGCAGATTACTAGAAAAAAAAGGATCCGATACCCCTGTTGAGGACCGCTGTGGTTATAGACCTTACAGAAGGCGAAGCGAAGGGTTATCACCTTTTGGAATTTTTCTGGTCAGCTTTCACAAAGAAAACCGGATACGATTACGCTGCCGACTACTCCGAAGTAGATACAATAGTTGAGACGGTTCAATTAACCGAGGATATTGTACTTAAGGATCTGTTATGGTTAAAGCAATCTAAGTCACCGGGTCTCAATGAATTACCGGCCAAGAGCTCACAAGTGAGTTGGAAAAATTACTCTCTACGTTTTCACAAACATCCTTCGGGACCGGATGCCAACCAGCCGCTTGGAAATTCGCGAGGATTACACCGTTCTATAAGGGTGGAAGCCGGTTCTCCGCAAACACTTATTGATCAGTCAGCCTTACTGCAATCAGATGCAAAATAATGAAAAAGATAATTAAACAACAAGTGATGTAGCTCCCGGAACAAAGCCATATGTTTTCGGATGTCCAGCACGATTTCCGAAGGGTTAGATCCTGCGTATCAAATTGGTTCTACTGTTTAGAACGCTAGACCGAGGCAGTCGATAGAGGGAATTCAGTTCACGCAGTCTATATTGACTTTAAAAATGCTTTCGATAACGTCCTGCACCAACTTCTGTGTTGCAGCTGAAGGTGTTGCAACACTCGAGTTTCGAACCCGCGTCTCTCCGGTCTGAGGCAAATTCCCTAAACGTTAACTACGCGTTCGCTGTCTTTTCGGTTTTGCATCGGGAGTATAAAGAAGAAGATAATTTTACATCGATCTGTTTTTGGGACGTTACCACCCAGTTGATGCCATTGCAAGCTTGGATGCATTCAAGTGTGTTTCGCAAGGCGACTAAGTTTTGGTAACATATTTTTATGTTTTTTTATTACCGATAAAGATGGGTACGTCCTGAAAAAAGATAGGTGTACAATTAACTACTACTATATACTCCCGATTAAGAACCGACAAGACAGCGAAATCGTGGCTCAATAGTTAGGGCGCTTGCCCCTGACCGGAGAGACGTGGGTTCGAAACTCGATTGTGCCAGCAGTTTCAGCTGATGAACTGGAGTTGGGTATCTCTAGCTGACGACGGCGAATGAGATAGAAATTGCCATCCTAGAGTCCCATATCTTTGTCGGTAATTCAAAACGGACTATTTTATACAAGCAAACCTATGACTTACGCTTTCTCACCATAAATCCCATGCGAAGGTCTCCACGGTCTTCCCTATTTGACTATCTGCTTACGTTAACGACCCCGCCAGCCGAACCTGGCAGCAATAATCTACGCGGCCCCTAAACGCTCTCTATTGGTTCGACTCGCAGCGGATTGTCGACGATCTGGGCGGATGTCTCTGTTTTTCTAAACTTCTCGGCGGACTCTGAAATTAGCAAGGGAGTATCAGGCCGCATATTCCGCAGTCGGTGTTGATCCCGGAGACTTCTGTAATGCCCTCGCCCGTTGGACTTTCCCTCAAAGGACGGAAGGTTTTTCTCCTAAAACCCTATCAGATCCTCCCGCAAGAGCGACAGCTTTTTCTCTTTGAAAATTCCAAGCAGCTTTTTTTCGCTGTCTGCTCTTAAAAAAACTATATTTCACCTCATGACTCAGGTCAGTTGGCCTCGCCATCAAACTGAGATACTGTTTTTCTGCTACCACGTCACACGTGTAGAAATAGGGAACTCAAATGCAACTCACCTACATATCGTTTAATTATACTGAGACTGATACTGATAAAGTTACGAACGAGTGTAAGCTATCAGAACAGAGGGCGGAACCCCTGGAGGTTATCCCTACTGACGATTCCTAGTGATTTTATTGTGGTTTCCTCCCCCATTCTCGTCCTCACTGAACAGTATCCACCCCTTATTACTCCCTTGGCCCTTTTTGCAATACGTAACTTGTTTACACATTGTGTCTTGCCATTATACCTCACTATCTCCGTGTTTTACCTTTGTTCTGATTGTTGAGTGGTCTACAATATGTCCATGGAAAACAAAGGATCGCGCACTACAGTTTACCACCAGAGCAAGACGAGGCTGCGAAGACGCATGGTGGTTTTAAACTCCACGCATAAAAATGCATCAAATGAACTGAAATTGTCCTCAAAGAAGTTTGCATGCTTATGGAGATTGAAATGTTGACAAAATGAAGGTAACTGACACAAATTTCACGGAGGGCAGCGAAGCTGGGGCCAGCTTTTTACTGCGAGGTCATCTATAAAGGGCTCTGCTAGGCTGAGTCTGCGGACAAGTTCTGTCAGTCAGTGTCCGTTCTGAGATTACTCGACTTCGGGGCATGTCCTTTGTGGTCTGCTGCCAATCAATGAAATGGTGCGCATTAATTAGCTCCGAGCTTACGCGCGGATCAAGCAGTCAACCAACCCGGATCGTGAGGCAGGCAGTATAACGCAGGTGCATTTAGCAGCGATTGACCAGGGGCGTGCGGGGGAGGTTCTCACGCGCGAGTACCCAAGGCTTCGCAAACGACGATAAGACGAGTCAGAGTAGATCGCGGACTGAAAATTAGTCACCGTTCCGTAAGATATGCAGGCCGGACCGTGCTAAGAATGGTCATCTTGTTCAAGCGTAAGTGTCAGAGACGCACAGCTCACTCGTAAGAAAGATTTCCTGGAAGCTGCACATTCGATGCAATCACCTTGGGAACTTTACATTACGGGATCCGATCCCTAGGGGAGCCGATGTAGTCACTAATACGAAACATTAAAGGGTTCTTTTAAGACTAAGCATGCCATTTTCAGCAAAGCAACGCAAAACAATCTTACTTTACCATCACAGAATGAGAGACTACCATAATTTTATCAGGCCAGAAATATAGTATAACATTTGGATCGTTATTTCCGACGAAGTCCACCGTGTGCTCACAGCAGGGTTTTGTAGGGACGGCAAATTGCACTGGACTATGGTGAGAGTGGACTTGCGTTGTCAATCCGTGATTCACTCTCCAAGCTCGGCCCGGGGTTAAGGCTTAGCTTAAACGTCAGACTGGGCCTGCTATGCTTGTTTTTACATCAACTTCCTTTTCCAGCATTCGTACGCAGGCCCAGTGACGACATCACTGGTACGCTAGTATCATCTGACGAGTGGCAGTAGGCTACACCGTTTTCTATTGCGCCATAAAGTAGATGACACAAGCGAGAGCAGGGCTGCTGTCTGCCAACGTATATTCTTCGAATCACCC